TGTTTTGCTGTTACTTGTGAAATGTGTGGGTTCGTTAACATATTGTTTAAGATTATTTATTAAAATGAATTCATCTAATATTTTAGTATTACGATTGGATTTATCTAAGTAGTTGATGTTAAAATCGCCAAGAAGTAGTAAATAATCATACGACGAGAACGTGTTTATTGTATCTGAAAGACCATCAATGAAATTTTGCACTTGAAGCCAAGGTGGTCGATACGCAGTGCCAATTATGACAATTTTACCATTGATTTTGGCACTTAGCCACATTTGTTCTATAGACTGCGATATAGGGTAGGGTAGATTACGTACTGGTAAACCACGTCTTATGTAGAAACCTACACCGCCACCGCGAGAACGAACTTCTGCCGGCCTAGGAGTATGTCGCAGGTGGTAACCAGGCACACGAGGTGCCCTTCCTTCTTCACCTGCCCTGAGCCAGGTTTCACTCAAAGCCAACACATCAACTCTCTGATGATCCATAGCTACCACGAACTCATCATGATGCGTACCTAGTGATCCGGGATTTAAAAAACCAACTTTTTATTTCTGCGGCCTAACCATTATGTACAATAAGATAAGTAAGATATCTTTGATTAAGGTTTAATTTAACTAAGTATTTATCATACAATGTAGATACATTTTGAGATATTAAATTATAAATACATAACATTATAGATATAATTAGTGCTATGCAACAATAATACAAATAAAAATAATATGAGACGCAGTTAATAATAAACTTGCACAAAAATGTATATAATATACCTAGCTGTATTATATTATGTAACTTTGATGCTGGTATGAACATTTTAACAGTGATAACGTGAACCCGAACGTTTTTGTATTGAAATAATTGATCTAAATTTGTTATTGCAGGCATATTATACAAAGAATAATATACAATTTCATTAATAATAGCAGGGCAATAGGAACTATTAACAAATAAATTAAAAGCAAGAAAAATAATACTATTTAGTTCACAGTTACCTACGTATAAGCTCAGAAAATCATTAAAGGTAAACGGTCGCTTAATTGTTAAGAAAATATCCAAATATATATAAGACATACATAAATAAACTGAACAAAATACGACAAGAACATTGCAAAGCACAGCAAAGCCTATTATCCTAACTCTCAAACCTAAAATAAAAACAAAATATGAAAGATAAATGCCCATAGTGATATGATTTAAAGAATGTTTTATAAAAAATATCAAATTCATGAAGAACCAAAAACCTTTTCAATGTCACAGTCCATACATATTTTTTGCTTACTAGACATAGAATCGCGCTTCACAAATATTACACCGTTTTTTGTCCATGCATATCGCCAGTTGCATCGCCGTGCCTCCTGTCGGGCCCTACGGAAAAGGTGCTTGTTGGCATACGTCAGGCGCTCGTTAAGATAAAAGCGAGTCGGTTCTCCATTGATATTAAAACCTGATGTATCAGCGCCCCGACGCACGCGCGCCTTCCGCAACAGTTGGTCGCGGACAGAGCGCCGCGCCAAACGTACGACGATGACTCTAGGCCGCGGTGGTTCGCTATCCGAGCTCTCACGGTTTCGACGCATACCGGCACGTTCAACACTAACCACGTCACGCTCGTCCAGTTCTACATCCAATTTTTTGGCGACAATTGTCATGAGGTGACCCGGGCTTTCTCCCTTCTGTTCAGGAATACCGGTGAGCTCTAAATCATTAGAAAGAGCCGCCTGTTCCTTTATATTCAAATCGCGCTTTAAGTGCGCAATAATATCTACCAGTTCGTTATTATTCCATGACTTGTGACCCTCCTTCGTTTGTTGTTCCAGGGAGGTAACTCGGGTTTCAACGCTGTCCAGTCTCGAATTAAACTGTGTCATGGAGGTGTTTAGTTTCGCAATTTCTTGCCGGAAACTGACCATTTCTTCTGACAGAGTCTTCAACTCAGTTCTAAGGAGTTTAATTTCCTTAGCCAATAAACCTTCAATGTGGGATTCAACTCTTGAGTCTACCGATGCCTCAATACAATAGTCGGCTGGCACAGGGCTTTGGCGCGGTATTTTGCAGGTTTTACAAATCCATTTTGGGCTTATCCTTGATTCGGGGCTAATATTAACACACGGCCGATGGTAAGTCGACGCTTGAGCATTTAACGCCATCTGTCTGCGAAATAAATTTACCGCAGTGCCCACACTTATTTGCCATTATTAATCGATGTAGCTAATTGATAACGTATAGTTTTGACAGTTGTCACTAGATGGCAGAAATATCAACACAGATTGATTGCTCGGTTCGAATGATTAATAATTATGCTTAGTGGTATTTTTCAACATAAAACTTAATAAAGACTCTGTAATTCACTTATTAGAAGAATAATAAATAAAAACTATGCTACAATTTATATTTTAAAAGTAAATTTGAACATAATTAATGGGGGTACACTAAAACAGCTGATTTCACAGCTGATTGTCACTGCGATTTTTAAAACTTAGTCTTATCCCACTATACTTGGTTAAATACTGCGAATAACACTTGTTCCACTTATCACTGTTATGGTTAATGGAAATATAAAATCACTTGTAAACAAAAACTTGTTTAACTATTTATTAGACCCATATATGTAAGACCAATATTACTGCCCTCCGCGCACACCTACCGCCTCTCGCATAAAGATCTCGGTATGAATACGTACAAAGTTCAATTAGTACAAGCGCTAAAGCCGCATGATAATCCGATGCGTTTTCGGTTTGCTCAATGGTCAATGGGCCGAAGACCGCTTGATCGAAGATGAGTATTTTTACTGAAAAATCATCTTTTCAGATGAAGCTCATTTCCACCTCATGTCATTGTGAAGAAACCAATACATCCACACCGAGTGATTGTCTGGTGCGGATTTTGGTCAGGTAGCATTATTGGGCCATTTTCTTCGAAAATGAGCAAGGAAACGCCATTACAGTGAATAGCGATCGCTACCGCGCCATGTTAAGCGATTTTTTGTTTCTCAAAATTGAAGAGGATGACATAGATAACATTTGGTTTCAACAGGACGGTCCAAAGTGCTACACAGCCAACGTAACGTAACAATCAATCTTTTGCGTACTGATTTCGAAAATCACTTAATCAGCCGAAATTGCTGATGTATAAAGATAGTGAATTATTGTAATTAGAAACTATGTTAATTAATTCCCAAGTATATGAGTCTTCCTAAGAAATATTTGACGATTAAAATGACAATCAAAAGACGTCCCTTATATTGAAATTTTAATATCAAATTGTGTTTGCAAAGTTGACAAAGACTTTGATAACTCTTAACTTTAATAAAACCCAGTTTTTGTAGTGAGCCGGTAAGTAGTGTTTAACAAACTTTTGTTTTAATTTTTATATAAGGTTATTTATAAAAATAAATACGAATTACTTATATTTACAACACTTTTATAAAACATAACTAATCTCAGTCTCAATGACTGCTTCAGTTTTATGTGTCTATTGTCTTACATTTTTTAAACTGTATTTATTATTTTAGACATTGACCTAAACTTTATAATAAAATGGCAAAATGTGTATTATTTCCCTGGTTGACTTTCTGATAAGGATAATCTCATTTTGAAATTTAATCTCGGTAGAATATATTATATTATATACAATAGAATCCGAGCATAATACTTGCCATAACTCGCTGAGTGCCTTAAACTTCTTCTTTCTTCTTTCCTATATAGAGGTCTATGTACTGCTTCGAACTTTTAAAAGGCTGTAACGATAGATAAAAAAAATTGGTAAATCCAATTGGGCATGCCTTAAGCGCATTAAAAAAATTACGTAAAACATGATTATACGGATTTTTTTAAGGAGTAAAATACATTTTGACAGCACTATCGGCTTCATCACCCTCGAAACCCACGAAAATGACACAGCCATCACCTTGGATTTACATTTCGACAGCACTATCGGCTTCAACACCCTCGAAAACCATGAGAATGACACCCATGATGAAAAAATTGATATCTATTGCAGCCGCCATCTTAGATTTACATTTCTACAACCCTATCGGCTTCAACTCTTTCGGAAGCCATGAAAATGATACCCATGATGAAAAAATTGCTGCCTATTGCAGCCGCCATCTTGGATTTATATTTCGACAGCACTATCGGCTTCAACACCCTCGAAAACAATGAAAATGACACCCATGATGAAAAAATTAGTACCTAATTCAGTCGCCATCTTGGATTTACATTTCGACAGCACTATCGGCTTCAAGACCCTCGAAAACCATGAAACTGACACCCATGATGAAAAAATTGATACCTATTGCAGCCGCCAACTTGGATTTACATTTCGATAGCACTATCGGCTACAACACCCGCAAAACCATGAGAATGACACCTATGATGAAAAAATTGATATCTATTTCAGCCGCCATCTTGGATTTACATTTCGACAGCACTATCGGCTTCAACTTCCTCGAAAACCATGAGAATGACACCCATTCTGAAAAAATTGGTACCTACTTCAACCTCAAATGATTCACTCTGGGATATTCTTATAATAACATTGAGTGCGGTTTGCAACTCTTGATTGCTTAGAGGACCGTGAACGGATTGCTTTCTACAATTATTAATAAAACGCAGCACATAAGCAACGGTCCGATTTAATCTAGTATATTTAGAAAAGCGTTTAAATTCAATTAATTTATTCCCACCTAAATCTTCATTGTTGCTAGAATGAAGTATTCCGTGGAGGATAACATTCGACGATTTAATCTCAGGCAACTCGTGATTAATACTTAAGAAATTTGCAGGCCAGTGAGAGACCTCTTTCTTTAAAAATTCAGGTCCTGACCACCACTTACTCATGGATGAAATATCCTTACAACTCACACCGCGAGAAATATGATCGGCCGGATTACACTCTGTTGGGACATGCCTCCACTCGCAATTTCCAGTCTTCTCTAATATTTCAGCAACCCTATTTCTGACAAAGGGTTGTAGCTTGCTAGGTAACACCTTTAACCATCCTAACACGATGGACGAATCTGTCCAAAAGAAAGTGCGCTTAGCCTTTGTCTCAGCGATGCTACAACCTTTTGGTAAAGGCGAGCTCCAACAAGTGCACCACAAAGTTCCAGTCTTGGGATTGTTATAGGTTTAAGCGGCGCGACACGACTTTTCGCCGTCAATAATTGAATTAAAACCTCACCCTGATCATTAACACTACGCACATATAAACAAGCGCCATATGCTCGCTCAGAAGCGTCCGAGAAAATATGAAATTCTAACAAACTAGGCGAGTCACAAATAACACGACGTGGAATACGTAGAGTATTTAATTTAGGTAAATCGACTATTATCTCAGCCCACATCTTGCTGATTTCTGGCGTCAACTGCTCATCCCATGACAGCTTGAGCAGCCACAACTGTTGAAGAAGCATTTTCATCTTAATTACACAGGGAGATAGAAGTCCTAGTGGATCAAAAATCTGAGAAATCACAGATAACATATCACGCTTTGTTCTACCTGAGAATAGCCCTCCTATAGGGAAACAAAGTTGGTCAGTATGTGATTGCCAACCAAGGCCTAAAGTTTTAGTCGGTTCAAAGCCACCAATATTCAAATCAAGCGGAGAAATATCATTTTCACTAACCAGTTGAGATTCATTCGACTTCCACTTTCGCAAAACCATATGAGCTGATGCAAGTGTGGAAGTCACTTTACGGCGCAAATCTGTAACCTCGTTAATATCATCCCCTCCCGTTAGCAAGTCATCAACGTAAAAATCGTGAATGATCACTTGAGCAACCTTGTCATCGGTACACTCTAAGCCTAATTGTTGGAGGCACCTAGTTGCCAAAAAGGGAGCACTAGAGGTGCCGTAAGTCACGGTGTTAAGTTGATAAGCTTGAAGCTGTTCTGAAGGGTTATCACGCCAGACAATTTGTTGCAAATAGCGGTCATCGGGATGAATGACTATTTGCCGGTACATTTTCTCAACATCAGCTGTGAGAACGTATTTGTGTAGCCGAAAGCGTAAAAGAATGGACAAAAGGTCGTCCTGTACCACGGGACCTACCATCTGTATATCATTCAAGGAAACACCCGAAGAAGTCGGACTGCTAGCATTGAAAACGACTCTTAATTTAGTAGTAGTACTACTTTCCCGAAGCACACCGTGATGTGGTATAAAATGCATCTTACGTGGTAAATTATCATTCTCACATTTCTCCATATGACCCAGACTTTCATACTCTGACATAAATTCTTTATACATTTCATAGACCTGAGATTGACCTGCTAACCTGCGCTCTAGCGATAGTAAACACTTTTTAGCTCGTGGCCAAGAATCACCTAATACGTCAGGATTATGTTTTAAGGGTATCCTCACGCAAAATCGACCATTTGCCAGTCGCGTGGTGTTTTTTAAAAAGTGTTCTTCGCATAATTTTTCTTCGTTTGAATAAAGAGACGCAGGGCTTACCTCTTCGAGGTGCCAGAAGCGTACTAATTGTTTTTGTATATCTTCATCTAAATCTTTACTAGCCTCATCTTGAAATATTCTTGTAAAATTACATTTAATAAAGTTAACCCCTTTCTTTACATATCTATAATCTATCGGACCTGATACTAACCATCCTAAGCTAGTTTCACAAAGAATCGGCTGACCGTCCCCTAATTTTAATCTCTGCGTTCCTATTAAGTCCCAAAAGACATCAGCACCTATAAGCATGTCAACGGGAGCAGGTGAGTGAAAATTAGGATCTGCCAGAGAAATATTAGATGGAATTTTTAAGTTTGACAAATTAACATATCTAGTAGGTACATTTTGGGTTATTGATGGTAGGACAAAACAATGAAGATTACTAGAGAAGTTATCATTCAATGATTTTATCGATACCTTACAAATCTTCTTGATGTGTGCCGAAGCATTATTAATACCGACTACCGACTGATTTACATTTTGAGCGGGCAAACCTAGCCTTTGATATAACTCTTCAGTTATTAAACAAGCGTTACTGCCACTATCAAGAATAGCACGAGCAATATATGGACAACCATTCTTACCTATAACTTTAATTAATGCCGTCGATAACAATACGTCGCCTTGTTCACTACACGATGCAGTGCCTACCTTTGCGGATAATGACAGATGTGCGTTAGAATTGGATGACAACTGTGAGCCTGTCGAACTGTTTGTTTGTTCGAAATGACCTTGCATAACAGGCTTATTATTACCACTACTCGTGTTAGATGTATTAATATCTGTAATTGGTTTTGACTGGTAATCTGCGACGTGCACGAGAGTGTTATGCTTTCGGTGGCATATTTTGCATCCTGGCTTTTTGCAGTGATTTGCATAATGTCCTGAATTAAGACAATTGAAACATACTTTATACTCTGGCAGTAACTGTAGACGCACATCGTTACTTAATCCAAGAAACTGAGGACAACTGCTTAACTTATGGTCACCCTTACATTTAGGACACAGTTTGGCGGAAAAGGCCGAACCGTTTTTATTACCGGTATCCCGCACTGAAACCATTGCCTTAACTTTTGGAGCATATTTTATAGAAGAATTTAAACGGTTAGTAGCACCAGAATTAGACATTTCTAGTGTTTCGATTAAATCGGCTCGATTTTTTAAAAACATCAAAAATATATCGAACGTAATAGGTGTATCTTTCTCCAAACGACCTTTAGACTCTTCCCATTCACGATATGTCTTAGCATCTAATTTTTGAGTAATAATATGAATGAGAAGTGTGTCCCATTGTTTAGTTGGCTCACCGAGAGATTCTAGTGCACGTAAATTTTTATTTATTTGGTCAATAAGACGTTTTAAGTTGACAGACAATTCTTTATTAATTGGTGCTATATTAAATAAGGCTGTCACGTGATTTTGAATTAGTAGTCTTTTATTATCATATCTATCACATAATATAGTCCATGCGACGGTGTAATTAGCTGCCGAGAATTCGATTGACTGTATTACCACAGCAGCGGGCCCTTCCAACGACGCTCTCAGATAGTGAAACTTATTTATGTCATCTATCTCGTCATTTGAATGTATGAGGCTCATGAACGTGTCATGAAACTCTAACCAATTATCATAAGAACCATTAAATTTAGGTAGTTGAATAGTGGGCAGTTTAACAAATTTATGATTGCCGGAATGAGAGCCACCGTCACTGCTTACGTCATCTGACTTAATGCAATCTGCTAAGATCCTTTTTGCAAGAGAAAGCGATTTAAAATACAGGGATTCAAAATCAGTTCGTTCTGATATCTGGGCGTCTATATTATCAGTATTACACTCGATGGATAATTGTACCTCATCATATCGTTCATACATTGACTCAATCCTACTAATACGTAATTGCAACTCATTTACCTCAGTAGCAGCCAATGAAGATACCTTCAGTGAATTTAAATAATTTGAAAAAGCTGTTATTTGTCCCTTGTAACTAGCTCGTTTCCTAATTTGCTCCTTATCTTCTGGCATGCTGGCTGGTATTGGGAGACTAGTGCAAATGCCTGAAATTTATACAAACAAGAAGTTTATATTTTATAAAATATAATTCATAAGTAGTTTTATACAATTTTGCTTACAGTTGTAAAGAAATGAAAACTAATTCCCTTACTTATTTTTCAAACTCTTAAATAATTAAACAAAATGGTACATGTACTACCTTGATATTTAACTTTATAATTAACAACAATTAAGGGTAACAAATACAATTCAGACCATCAAACAGCTTCACAGGTATGCCTTAGTATGTAATAAATAATATTATGCAATTTTTTCAATTATACACTCTCTTGACTTATTTTTTAAAAAACAGTTTAAACCAATAAAGAGAGAAAAAAAAATTATAATATCGTCAATATAATTTAACTAAGCTTTATAATTTGATTTAATCATGATTTGACGGTTATTAGAAACTATATAAAACAATATTTTCAATGTATCTGTGGGCAGTTGAAGATAAAACATCGTTTGAATTTTGTGGCTATTTAAAATTCAAAATATCTGTTTATAGTACGAAACATTGCGACTAGTACATATGTGTGTGAACCTTATATGACGGTGATTGTGTCTGTGTAATCACTTCAATAAAACATCAAGAAATTGTGGAGTAAGAAGCATTTTAATATTTATAAAATCTTATATTTTCAATCTCTTGGACCTACCCCCAACTCGCAATTCGCTCGCTGTGACGTAGTACGGCAATATTTACTTGCTAATCTTTTAGCGCCTGGATAAAATAATTAGCACATACTAGTTAACAAACTTTTTCTAGTAAATTTTAAAAGTTGTTTTTTGGATTATTCTATTGCACCTAAAATGGATAAACAATTCTGTGGAGCTTGCAGAGCATTAATATCTGATAAAAGATACATGACCTGCCTTGGTTGTAAACAGAAGTATGACCTTCAATGCGCTAATATCTCACCACAGCGGTATAGAGCGTTAAATGATGAGAATAAGCGTAATTGGAGATGCCTGGAATGTAAAAGTAAAATACCTAAGAAGGATAACACAAACACACCTATACGCCCATCGCACCAGACAGAGTCGGCAGTTCTCGATAACGCAGATAACTTGAATGTAACGTTGCGTAAAAAATCTGATTTAGCATTTGACTACATAACGGAAAAAAAGTTGAAGGATGTCTTGGAGGCTGAAAGACAAGAATTAAGAATTGTTATTCAATCAAGCCTGAAGGAATTATCAGATCAGTTAACCACAATAAAAAACCAGTGTTCCGGATATCAGGAGTCTTCAATGTTTATTAGTGGGCAATATGAGGATTTTCGCAAAGAGCTCGTAGAACTAAAAAAGCTGCTTGCAACGACCACTTCTGAATTGAAATGTATAAGAGAAGAAAATAAAAGTCTAAAAAATAGTGTTACTGCACAAGCTGCAAGGATCAAAGCATTGGAAGACGAAAACTTGAGACAACAACAGTGGACACGAATGCAGAATATAGAGATAACAGGGATTCCTGAGAATAAGGCCGAAGATACTAAACAAATAGTATTGAAACTCTCGCAGCATATTGGGGCTCCTATTCAGCAGACTGATATCGATTTCGCACACCGGGTCCAACCTCGGCGCGCTGTGAGTGCTGCCCGCGCACGCCCCATTGTTGTGCATCTAAGACAACGTGCCGTCAAAGACAAACTTATAGCAGCGGGTCGCAAGTATCGTACTCTGAATGCTAAGGATTTGGGAATGGGTGATGAGACTAACAGAGTTTATATCAATGAGCACCTTACAAAAGAAAATAAAATTCTTTTAAATACATGCAAACAAAAAGCCAAGGAGATAAATTATAAATTTGTCTGGACAAAAAACTGCCGTATCTTCGTTCGAAAGGACGAGGCCTCACCCCCTATTCCAATATCCTCATCAACCGATATATCCAAAATAATGTAAAACACTGTTTGATATTTAATAATTACTCACCTTTCAATGTATGCAATAATCCTCTCTTACACTTACATAAAATATTTTTACACTTCTCTACACCCAACTCTATTTACACACTTATTGATTATGCAATGCAAGAGTACCTCACAAGTATATCCTTTCCATGTGAACTACACTCCTATTTTAGACCGAAGCAAATTCTCGTAGTGCCACATTTAAATGCTATTAAAAACTACGGCTTAACTTATAGTTATACATTGACCATTAAGGTTTGCGAATATTTATCTATATTAATTAATAACTATGTCTTAAAAATAATAGTTTATTTTTCCTTTAAATATTTAACATTTTATAGAGTGTACGTTTATCGATTTCACCACTACTACCCTGTCAGAAATGGATGAAAATAGTAAAAATAGTAACAACCTTACATTGCTTTATCAAAACGTTAGAGGGCTACGAACAAAGACTAATACGTTTTATAATAATCTGTTACTGTCTGAGATAGATGTAGTTATGATTTCTGAAACATGGTTATATGATGGTATTTTGGACGCAGAACTAAGTGACGATAATTATAAAATTTTTCGTAGAGATCGAGGATCATTAGGAGGTGGTGTAATGTTACTTTGTAAATCAAAGCTACACGCGCGCATGAGACCAGAATGGAATAATACTGATCTGGAATGCATTTGGATTACCATTCCAGGAAGTAACATAGGCTCTTCGTATGACATACACATTTCGGTAGTTTATATACCACCTAATCATCAAATATCTTCGCGCATAAAGGATCTCATTAACACACTGTTAGCTGTTCGTGATAAATACCCAAATGACTATATAATTGTTTCAGGAGATTTTAATTTACCATGTATTGACTGGAGTTCTGGAGACCCAGTTATACGTAGGAAAGGATCAGTCGAAGTTCAAACTGCAGCATCTGATCTTATATCTTGTTGTTCTTTCATAGGACTTTCTCAATACAATTCACTCTTAAACAGTAGCAAGAATACTCTAGACTTAATCTTTTCATCTTTCCCAATAAAAGTTCAAAAATCTGAATTTGTGATTGTTATAGAAGATGTATATCATCCAGCTCTGTACATATCTGCGACGGACATCTTAGTACCTTCACGTAGGCCTTCTTTAAGGACTAAATATCAATTTAAGCGAGCAGACTACCGTAGTATGAATGATTTACTTTTGAAACAAGACTGGGCTTTTATCACAAGGGAAACAAGTTTAGATCGTGTTACTGATAAATTTTACAGTATAATAAATGAATTAATTGAAAAATTCGTTCCTAAAATCCGATGTAGTAGTAATTATTCTTATCCAATATGGTACAGCAGAGCACTAATTAACCTTATAAAAGAAAAGAGTAAATTGCACTCTAGTTGGAAGAAGCATAAAAATCCGATTGATTACGCAGACTTTTCGGAGCTGAGAAAACGACAAAAGATACTACAGCAACAATGTTATAAACTGTACCTAGCACGCACTCAAGAGAATATTAAACATAACCCCAAAGCTTTCTGGAGTTATGTAAAGTCTAAGCGTAAATACAATTCTGATTATCCTCAAGAAATGACATACGGAGACACTAAATTGAATAACCCAATAGCAATCTGCTCGTCATTTAACGATTTTTTTAAAAGTAATTTTACTAAATCTATAGACAATAATTTGACTATACGATCCGATAATTTAAATTTAAATGTAATCCAAGATATTGAAATAAATCCAGAGAAAGTTAAGAATTTAATTTGTAAGCTTGACATTACGAAAGGTGCCGGTAGCGATAAATTGCCTCCTGTATTATTTGTAAAATGTGCAAAATCCTTATCTGTTCCTATAGCACTATTATTCAATAGGTGTCTTCGCGATGGCTACTTTCCAAGTATTTGGAAGGAAGCTCATGTTGTACCTATACACAAGAAGGGGCTGAAGACAATAATTGAGAATTACCGGCCAATATCAATACTCAATGTGTTAAGTAAATTGCTAGAAAGAATCGTTCATATGCACATATACCCCATCATATTACCTTCAATACCCCCAGAACAACATGGCTTTGTGAAAGGGCGCTCTACAGCAACTAACTTAGGCGCATTTATTGATTATACTACCACAAATATGGATGGAGGGTCGCAAGTAGATGTCATTTACACTGACTTTGAGAAAGCCTTTGATCGCGTAGATCACATCATATTACTACGTAAGCTTTTTGAGCTGGGCATACGAGGTAATCTTTTCAGGTGGATGGAATCATATCTGCGGAAACGATCTCAGGCAGTAGTCTTAGGAGGGTTCCGTTCTGACTTCGTGGAAATAACATCCGGAGTTCCACAAGGTTCTATTTTGGGTCCTCTACTGTACGTGTGCTATCTATATGATGTGGGTAAGTGTTTTCATAATGCTAAGTTTCTGATGTACGCTGATGACACTAAAATATATATGAAAATCACTGATTATGTAGATTGCATGAAACTTCAAGATGATCTTGTGCGACTTGGTAACTATTATGTGGTAAATCGTATAGGAGTTAATGTCAGCAAGTGTCTTTACGTTTCTTTCACAAGGAAAAGAGAACCTACAAAATTCAACTACCAAATAAATCACCTTAATATAACTAAGAAAGAATTAGTGAAGGATCTGGGGATATTACTGGATTGCAAGTTAAGCTTCTCAGAACATATTGAAACAATTACGCACTCGGCCTACAAAAGCCTTGGCTTCATCCTACGCGTAAGCAGACCTTTTACTGATATTAACTGTATTAAATTACTTTATTTTTCATATGTTAGAAGCGTCCTTGAATATTGTAGTACTGTATGGAACCCGTATTACACTGTTCATATAAATAACCTAGAACAAATTCAGCACAAATTCATGAGACATTTAAAGTATAGAAATTTTATTTACACTAATAACTATGAAGAGTCTTGTAAATATTTTAATATAATAAGCCTTGAGGATAGACGTACTCTAATGGACATGGCATTTTTGCATGGTTTATGTAATGGAAGTATTGACTGTGTAACTTTAGCTGATAGAGTTCTCTG